GGCCTCCTAACCATCCCCATATCATCATTGGCCTCATCGCTCTGTCTCCACTAATGAGCTGGTGTGTGGTGTGCAGTCTGGTGCAATTGGGCTGCCGTCGCATATTCCAGCTGAATGCTGCCAGGGGCGTTGCTAGACGTAAAGCTCTACTGGGGCACAGCACCCCATATATTCTAAAACAAAAATATATAATTATAAATAAATAACAGTACTATTGTTATTATCGGTTATTATTCTAAATGCATAACAGATAGTAATCCTAAATGTAACTGGAAAGCAATCTAAAGAGGCAACTGAAGTGATGCTAAGATAATTTAAGAAATATTTAGCATGAATGTTAGACATCATATAGACAATTCAATAGAAAACAAAAAAAAAATAGTTTTAAAGAATTATCTGTTGTGTGTCGTCTTAGACCCGACTCAAAGCAGAGAATTAGGTTAATTAAGTCTAACCTCCCTGACTTCATCCCTCCTTTCTGCTTCATACTAAAAGTAAATCTATCAGGAGCCATGCAGTATAAATAAGATCACCACCATATTATTTAAACTTTATTTAAACTTTGTTTTGTCGACTTGCAAATCTCACTGCATGCCGGTAAAGCCGGTTTCACAGTGCATGAGCGGCCAGGCTATTTTTTCAGCATGCATGTTCACAACCGGACCAGGAACAGAGCAGAGCAGAGCACACGTCAACGTATGTTTTTTTTTTTTCTGCGCACATGCTCAGTTAGCTTTTTGATTAAACTGCATTACTTTCATCAGTGTTGGTTTGGTTGCACACACTGGAATTACCACTCTTTATAAATACACTTGCATATGTAAATCATATCTCAAAGCATTTATTGGGGCACTGATGAGGAGATTTCCCCCAAAAAATGTGTGCAAAGTGCTTTGAGTGTCCAGAAAAGCGCTATATAAACCTAACATATCATTATTATACTCCCCATAAACTAACTATTCACAGATTTAATCCCTCTAATAGCTACTATGATAGACTTTTACACATTTTGGGATGGGGATGTTTTTCTATTCTTGATTCTAAGGATTTACCTTTATTCCAAAACACATCTTTTTGTGACTATTAGTTCAAAAACACTTCCGGTTTTTGTGCCAGCGAAAACCTAACATGCGTGAGCCTATTATTAGCTTCCGTCTTTGCATATGGAAAGTGTCCAGAGTGGACATCCAGTCAGGGCAGCAGAATGTGAATGGAGAAAACAGGTGTATAAAGCCCCAGTGTCACTTCCCTGCACGACGTTCCCAGTCATTGTGACATCATAATGGCAATAACCAGCAGGAAGTGGAAGCCCAAACACAATGAGCAATCGTAACAATATATGGAGGAAGAGTAGATGCTTGTAAGATTAAACTGCAGGCCACAGAAGGGAAATGTGGAGCATGGGCATCACTGCGCTTGTTTGCTTGTAGGGCAAAAGAGTTATGCTATTTTTAACCATTTCGGGACTCAGGAAAAGGTCGTTCCCAGGCCAGTTCCCATGTCCGAAGTGGGCGCAAAAATAAATAGGTGTAATTGTTAAGAGCTTGACCATCTGTGTGTGTCAAACATCTGTCTTGATTATTACCATCAGCCAGTTCGGGGAAAGGTACGGTGAGGAAGTTAAAACTCAAAAACATAATGGGTGAAAAGGAACATTGTGCAATACATGTGTGTTTGTGTTTTTATCATTGATTAAAGTATTTGGCAGCTTGTCAGGTAGTTTCACAATATACAGAAGGCTGTTAAATCGGTAAGGTGTGAGGTTTATAGTTCCTTTACACTCATTGGAACAACCCTGAAGGGTTATTAATGTTATTACAAGACTTTTATGACTTAAAATGACAAAGTTGAAGTCAAAACTATTAGCCCTCTTCTAAATTACTTTTTCCTTTTTCAAATATTTCCCAAATGATGTTTAACAGAGCAAGGAATTGTTCAGAGTATGTCTGATAATGTTTTTTTTTCTTCTAGAGAAAGTCTTATTTGTTTTATTTTGGCTTGAAAAAAAAAGCAGTTTGTAATAAAAAAATAGGGCGTGGCAGTGGCGCAGTAGGTAGTGCTGTTGCCTCACAGCAAGAAGGTCGCTGGGTCGCTGATTCGAACCTCGGCTCAGTTGGCGTTTCTGTGTGGAGTTTGCATGTTCTCCCTGCCTTCGCGTGGGTTTCCTCAGGGTGCTCCGGTTTCCCCCACAGTCCAAAGACCTGTGGTACAGGTGAATTGGGTAGGCTAAATTGTCCATAGTGTATAAGTGTGTGTGTGTGGATGTTTCCCAGAGATGGGTTGCGGCTGGAAGGGCATCCGCTGCGTAAAAACTTGCTGGATATGTTGGCGGTTCATTCCGCTGTGGCAACCCCGGATTAATAAAGGTACTAAGCCAACAAGAAAATGAATGAATGAATGTATGAATCTTTGAACTACAAGTTGCACATTGCATTGCAGCAGGTGCAATAATTCCATATAAGTGTTGGGCTTCTTATGGTACAGCAGCAAAGTTCCTTGATTATTATGCTGGACTGACAGTATACTGTAGTTCCTATTGACCTAGAAAGTAGGAACTTTTCAGTGTCCGTCAGTCTTAGTACACAATGTAACTCTGCAGCAGGTGCAGTAATTTTACACTGATTCTAAATAGTGGTGCAAGTAAAGGGCTTCTAGCTGGCGACTGTTTTTATTTGCTGCGTAATATTATGGTACAGCAATAAAGTTTTCTTGATCATTACTCCAGAATGACAGCATAGTTCCTATTGACCTAAAAGTATAGCAAATTTTGACTGTCCGTTTGTCCTAGTACACAATGTACAGGAACTACAAAAGAATCAAGCTTTACATATGAAAACTGTTGAAACTTTAATGATGCTAATAGTCTAATCTGATTCAAAGATTGATGCTAAGCTATGCTAAAAGTGCTCCCGCCAGACCTGGGGCCTCATGTATCAACGCTACGTACGCACAAAAACTTTGCGTACCCCAGGTTTCACGCTCAGAATCGCTCACGTTTGGATTTACTAACAATGAAGTGAACGTGGGAATGTGCGCAGCTTCACGGCAGCTTTCTGGCTGGCGTACGCACATTTTTTGTGCGTGTCTGTTTTATTTCCATTGGCAACTCCTAGAGGCAGTTGTGTTAAATTCCTCTCTACAAAGTGTCTGAGCCTTGCAATGGCAGCTGTATGAGACGGGTTCATCTAGCAGGTATATAAGGTTTCCATAGCATACAGTTGACCAGCCAAACATTAAAGCACAATTTGCAGCAGTCGCCTGTTTTCCCAATGTAATCTGAGCGATCTACCGCACGCACATTGCTATAAAGACACTATCTGAAGATTTGCATGCGTAAATCAGAAACATTTCCATTCAATAAATGTGCAAATAAAATATGATGCACAAACTTATTGATGATTCCTACCTGTCTTTCTTGTGATAAATAGTAGGCAAACTCTGATATGTAGCGGGGGAAAAAAGAAGAAAGAGTTCATCAGACGCTGGATTCGAGCAGAGTTCATGATCGAACGTGTTAATTCATGATCACACGCGTCTTACAAGCTGCGCCACTGAGACTGTTAAGGATGCTGCAACATTTTACAGATATAAACCACACTATTTCTTTTTTTAATGCACTCAGTGCGATGTTCAGACCCAACTGTGTTAACCGCATCAGCTAAACTCTCCCACTCTATTTTTTTCTTTTGTTGTTAATTCTGGAGGACAAACTTGCAAATAACACCGCTTTTCTCCGGTCTACCTCCGAAAGCAGCACCTCCAATCACATTCTGTTCAAAGTTTCTCTTTTTGCTTGCTTTTGCCATTGCTTTTTCGTTGGGTTTTGCCATTAGCATAGTCATTAGCATATTCATACGGGGGAGGAGGCAGGGAGGGGTTTTGTGCTCATGCATGTTGCGCTCAGTTTCACGTTCATTCGGATGTACAAAAGAATATACGTGAGATTCGGCGTACGCAGTGTTTTATACATCTGAATTTTTTTCTGCGTACGCACATTTACAGCTTTGTGCGTACGCAATGTTTTAGTAAGATTTCCACGCAAGTCTTCGTACATGAGGCCCCTGGAGATTATCTGAATGGTTGTAAAAATGGTTAAAAAAAACACAACACAACTCTATGGGAGCTGAAAAAATGAGTGTTCCTTTAAGGAATGATAAATACCCACACTGAGCAAGAATTCACCGTTATGGGAAAATGAACCCAAAACTGAACTAAAAGTGCTTATCGTGACTGGCTAGCACGGGCCTCAGAGGGGCTCCTGGCGGTGGGCATCAGTTTTGCCGACTGTGCTCGCTCAAGCGCTTTGGTAAACAGAAAGAAGCTGCGTTCACACCGAAGAGCACACTAAACCACAGAGCTGACACATCATGAACCATGAGTCAGCCCACAGCAAACTAATGATCAGCAGATAAAGCCTACAGACTAACTGCTGATCATCCTTTACTATCCGGTTTACCGAGCCGCAGTTCAGTTTCACATCAGAATGATTACATGTATGGTTCTTTATTAAAGGGATAGTTCACTAAAACATAGTTCTGTCATCATTTGCACAACCTTTCCGAGTTTCTGTGCTCTGTTAAATACAAAAGAAACTATTTTGAAAAAGCTGAATGCTGTTAACCATTAACTTTTATAGTACTTGTATTTTCTACCATGGAAGTGAATGGCTTTTCAGCTTTTTTCAGAATATCTTAGTTCAAGTTCAACAGAAGAACGAAATTCATGAAGGTTTGGAACCACTTGTTTAAATAATTTTTTTAGTTTTTGGGTGAACTATCCCTTTAACATAGATGTGTTTTCAACTATGGCCTTTAATGGTGTAAGAGATTACTGCGATTAGTTTGAGATTAGAGATACAAAGTGGTTCTTCTGTCTAAATTTATCTAGGCTACACTATGCCAGGGTTATTGGGTTGACTGCATATCAAAGTGTTTGATAAATTTAAGTTGTACTGCTTTAATGTGTGCATTAATTTTTTTCTTTCTCGTTTTGTTTCCTAGAATAAGAAGATGCTGCGTTTATTGATTGTGGTTTTGATTCTTCAAGGTGTAGGTGAGTTCAGTTTACCCGTGCTTATGTTATTCTCCTGTGCTTTGATCAAAAGTTCTGTCTCCTATTTGTATGTTTATTTTTACACTCAATCTTCTCTCTCTCTTAAGTATCAGTTTCAATAGCAGGCTTGTGAAACAGTCCTGCTGTTACTCGCCATTAAGCAGATGTGTTTCATCCAAAATGCCTTGAACGGTTCTGTGTTAACTCTAGAGAATTCATCAAACTATGTCAGTTCTCTATCAGTGCGACACATGAAGTACTATATATTTGCAAGTTAAGGCAATACACTGCTGGCCAAAAAAAAAAAAAAAAAAAGTTCAATTTTGAGATTATTATGTTTTTTGTGTGGCATTTTGGCTTTTCATAAAGTGCTTTTTTTCAGTATAAAGTGAACATCAAAATTACACTTTTAAGTGTTTCTTTTTTTTCACACTTTATCAATTTGTGTTAGCACATTTCAATTGCAATACATATTTTTAAATGCCTTTTTCTTAACATGGGTTGTTTTCTCCTGCAGACATACTGTATAGTAAAGCTTAAAATTATTCAAACCCCTGGAGTTAAATTTACTTTTATTCAACCAGCAAGTTTTTCTTTTTTGTTTTCTTTTTTTTACCACAGCTGCCACAGACTTCTTGAAAAAAATAACAAGACGATGTACAAGAGACATCATTGTGGAAAAATATTTTTTTCTTTAAGTAACTTAAAGTATTTGCCAGGGTTGTGAATAATTTTAGACTTGACTGTGAATCTCCACTTCAGTAACATTTACACAGACCAAAAACTGTTCATATCTGTATTCTGAAGGTAATTATAGAGATAATGTAATGATCACCAGCGATCTAGCATTTGCAGATAGCTAGAAAACTATACATCTGCCACTTTACCAAACTACAAATCCCTTCATGCCCAGCACTCACCCACTAGTTCTAGATAACCTCTTTAATTTACACGCACAGCTGCAGATCATCCTCACTGAGTACTTGGACTGTATAAGCATCACAAACAGACTCAGAATTGTTCCTTGTTTCCATGTCTTGCTTTGTCTGGCTTTTGATTATTGGATTTTTCTTTGGATTGTGATAGTTTTCTGCCTGCCCTGACCTTTGCTTGTCTCTTGGACTACTCTTTTGGATATTCCTTGCTATTAATTTTTTTCTTCCTGTTTTAACCCCTGCTTGCTAACTATTCTCTTAAAATAAAGCTGCACATGGAACTCCATCTCTGTTGCCACCTGACCTATTTTACGAATTAACTCACACTGTACATATTTTGCGTGATTACATACATTTTAATTCTACAAATGTGATTTATTTAATATTTTAGTTGGCTGTCCGCTGTATTTTCAGAATTATGGAATGGAAAAAATAATTCCCAAATGCTTTCTCTAAAACCTTTAACTCTAATATGCCAAACAAATATTTTAAATACAAATCCATCCAACGTTTAGATTTGTTTGTGCTAGAAATACATGCAAATTTGTACAAATTTTATTAAATAATGCTTAATTTGTAGATTTTAACATTTTAATCAACTAGTAAAAAAAAGTGTGTGATTTTTTAATGTAATAAGTCAGCTGGGGAACTTTTGTGACAGTAGTTATTTGTTTAATTTTTACCTATTCACCGGCAGTGCCTTGCCCTCCCAATATGGCTTTTTGACCTTTTTTGACTAAAAATCAAAGTTACTTTTATTTAACCACCAAGTATTTTTTTTTTTATTCATTTTATTTTTGACCTGAAATGACTTCTCCAAAAAGATAATAAGACAATGTACAAGAGGCATTACTGTGGAAAAAAAAAAAATCTTAAAGTAAATTCAAGTATTTGCCAGGGTTATGAATAATTTTGGGCTTGACTGTAAGTCTCCACTTTGCCAACAGGTTTACATAGAGATTCTGTTATGATCACCAGCAATCTAGCATTTGCAGATCGCTGGAGAACTACAAATCCCATCATGCCCAGTATTCACACTCCAGTTGTAGATCACCTCTTTAATTCACACACACAGCTGCACATCATCCTTACTGATTACTTGGACTAGTTAAGCATCACAGACACAATCATTCTTTGTTCAGTATTCTTCCTTGGTCCATGTTTTGCTCTGTCTGGCTTTTGATTCTTAGATTGTGTTTTGGATTGCGATAGTTTACAGCCTGCCCTGACCTTTGCCTGTCTCTTGGATTACTCTTTTGGATTGCCTTTGCTATTAATGTTTTGACCCCTGCCTGCTGACCATTTTCTCAAAATAAAGCTGCATGAAGAACCCCATCTCTGTTGCCACCTGACCTCTCATTATAGATTCTTTCATACTGTACATATTTTGATTGATTACATACATTTTAATTCTACAAAACATAATTTATTTAATATGTTTGTTGGCTGTGTACTGTATTTTTAGAATAATGGAGTAAAAAAAAATCCCCAAATCCTATCTGTAAAAACCTTTACTCTAATATGCCAAACAAGTATTTTGTATGAAATCCATCCAAAGTTATATATATATATATTTTTTTTTTGTGCTAGAAATACATGCAAATTTGCATATATTTCTTAAACAACTAGTAACAAAAATGTGTGTTTCTTAATGTACTTAGTCATCTGGGGAAATTTGGTGACAGCAGTTATTTATTTATTTTGTACCTATTTACCTGTAGTGCCTTGTCCGCCCAATATGGCTTTTTGACCTTCAGTGGAATAACCACAAAATATATTCAGTTTTGACCTTTATGATATGTTTGTCATAAAGGTTATGTCATGGTTATGTTCGTGCGAATGATGACCTCTTATTTATTTCTTCATTTATTTTTCAAATCAACAGTTGCAGCATCAGACGACACAGAAGGAAATGCTTCAGGATATCCCAGTACGTCATTTCTCATGTTTATATGATGTTTTTTGACAATGTGATTGATTTTCAGTCTGTCCTGAGCAGGTCATACTTGTAATGTAATAAACAGTAAAAGCGATAGAACCTTCAATAAAATCAAGATGAAATAAAAAAAAATAATAATAATAATAATTAATGCTGGTTTACTGAAAAAAAATACTATAATACAGTAATTGTTGCATTTCTCCAAAACTATTGGGGCAATTTAAATTCTAACAATAGGTTTATGTAAAAATTAAGCCATAAAAATGATTTGTACAAATCCTTCGCCCAAAAAAAAAAAAAAATTATGTACTTTTTCTTATAATTTTGGGGTGAAATGTGACTCGTTTTATGTCATCTTTAAAGTTTAGTAATTTTTTATGTGCTGTTATGGTACATTATTTGAATTTGTATTGTCTTTTAATTCCCTCTCAACATTTTTATTTCCCTAGGTGATGATGAGGACGAGGTTGTAACCAGTAGGTGTTTTCCTTTCCTCTCGACAGGCTTTTACTGTAAGAAATGACCGACTCATCCACCGCATTAATTCCTGAAAGCAATCAATTAGCGTGTCCCAGCAGAACGCCGCTGATAACCCCGGCTCCATGCGCACTACTGTCCGTCCCCTTAATAGACGCCGACAGCCTCACTGAGCTCTCCTGTCCATCTTCATCAGCACAAATGATTGCTCTCTGATAGAATTACTGAGCTGTTAAAGCAAGCGCCGCTCACTGTAAAACTCTCCAATATGAGCACCGTCACTGTGATTCACTTTCCTGTCTAATTTCCAAGAAGATGTGAAATAATGTTATGATTAATAAGAAGAATTGGCTTGGAGATGCGGTGTTCTCTGCTCATATGGCTTGATGATATCAATGATAGCACAATGCTGTGCTGAAAATTAGTTTTAGTTATTAGTTTTAGTTGTTTTACTGTAGTTTTGGACAACTGCTAATTTGCAGCATGTTTGTAGTGTCCTGGTTAAAAGATGACTAAGTCTTTCACTGATGTTCACGATTCATTTATTGGTCACACTCCATAGAATTAGTTCACATTATTTCATCACGAATCACCGTAAGAACTAGAAAGAAAATAAACAAACAACAAACACAAAAAAATCCCGAAAATTAACACTAAGCCAACATAACAATTAAACAGTAATCATAAACAAATAAACCAAATTACCTTATTTTTCCCTCAAACCAGGAGCTATAACTCATGAAGGAGGAATCCGGGAAGCAACCGTATACATGTGCCCCCTTTACCGTGTTTCACCTAGCGTTCCATACTTTGTTTTCATTCATTACTGCACGCAATTTATACATCCTTCTGTTAAGCTCCGCAATTTTGACGTCATAATTAAAGTCCCCAAACAACTGAATTAATTCAACAAATCAACCCGTATACAAAATACAACACAACATAAAAAATAGATAAATTCAAAATCATAAACAAAGTAACACATTATTTCAAGTTTCTTTACAATGTTTTTCAAAACATAACATTTCTTTAAAGGTGCTTTTGACTCTTCTAAAGTATAAAAATACCACAATGTTTGCAGATATTTAAGAAACATGCTAACTGAAAAACAATGCTGAAGTCAGATATTCTCTTTGAAAATGTGAGTTACGTGCTGGAACATCTGTCTTTGAACTTATACATGATTGGAACCACTTGTAGGTAAATAGTAAATAGTGTAAATAGTGAGTAAATTTACATTTCTGGGTGAACTTTCCCAGCTAGCAAAATTCATGTGGCTTTAAATCCGGCCCACACCAGACACTTACATACTGTATGGCCCAGATACTGCATAGAATGATTGCACTTGGGCAGTCCGCACCTGTTTGCCAGATCTGGGTCACAATTAAGCCTTAGCAATATCACATATCAGCCAGAATTCGACCAAATGAACCAGAACTGACCCTATTATGGGCCACAGTTTGCTTTTATTCTGCCCCAGATCCGGCTCACACCAGATACTTACATCTGAACCACATACTGAATGGAATGATGGTTCTTGGGCGGTCTGCTCCTGTTTGTCAGATCTGGGCCACAAATAAGCCAAAGCAATACCACGTATCAGCCAGAATTAAACCAAATGAACCAGAACTGACCCTATTCTGGGCCACAGTTTGCTTTTATTCTAGTTTTAGTTATTAGTTTTAGTTGTTTTACTGAATTTTGGATATCTGCTCATTTAGAGCATGTGTTTCAAAACATGCAATTTTCCTAAAGGTGCTGTATGACTCTTTTAAAGTATAAAAATACCACAATATGTTTGCAGATATTTAAGAAACATGCTAACTAAAAATGCTGAAGTTAGATATTCCCTTTGAAAATGTGCGTTACGTGCTGGAACATCTGTCTTTGTTTTGGTAATTTATCACCCAATGCCAGTTTAGCCAATTATATTTCAGCACCCCGGGTTGCCTTTGTGGAAAACAGCATGTTTCATTGGTTCACTCAATAAGGCTCTCAAAGCATACGTCTACAACCAAAAATGTGACCTCTGATGGACAATAGTCACCTCGAAAATGAGACACAGATTCAGACTATAATAAATTAGCAAATAATATAAATATTACGAAGGTAAACATTAGATTGTAACCCTGTATCCTAACATCACGCTACGTGATGAGATTTGCAGTGATAAGCAAAATAGTGCACTTACTGCACTCCAAAGAAATGGTAATGTTAATAATCTAATTAACACACCTTAAATCTCTTTAACATCATTAAATGTAGATGCTGAATCAGTGATATGTTATGGCTTGCACTGAGTCACAGTTCTAAATTTCAATATCAAACATTTTATTTCATTTTCAAGATCTGAGGTAAACTATCTGCTGCTGCTTTCTGTAGTATGGAAATAAATGTCATGTGAAATGGCATTTAAACTTTGTGAGCATATAACACTGAATAAAGCACATGAGGTGTACCTGGGGATCATTGTCAGTTTTCTGTTGTTCAGCTGCAAGAAAGAAAAAAATATATAAATTTCAGGTGTTGGTTAGGACAAAAACTCCTATTAAAAAGGAAAATATTACCTCTATCGCGTGCCGTTATGTAGAACACAGTTTAAATCAGCCTTTAGGCTCAATAGTCAGGCTGTTGATGTTGTTGATGTTGTGCAATACTTAGCTCAACCACTAAGTTGCAAACTTACATTCTGCACCTTTAAAGGATTAGCTCACACACACACAAAAAATAAATAAATTTACGCACTATTTACTCAACCCCAAGTGGTTCCAAACCTTTATGAGTTTTCTTATTCTGCTAAAGACAAAAGAATATATTTTGAAGAATGATAGAAACTGGTACTTCCATAGCAGGAAAAACTAATATTACGGAAGTCAATGGTTATCGTAAAAAAAAAAAAAAGAAAAAAATCACTTATTTTTTATTTACGAGAAAAAAGAAATCAAGCAGGTTTTGAACAGGTGAGGAGTGAGTAAATGATAACAGAATATTCAGTTTTGGATGAACCATTCCTTTAAATTAGCTTATTTAGGCATATACATGAAAAAGCTTATTTATTGACAGTCTTAGTTCTATCACTTTAAAGTAATAAACACTGTACATCTCTCTATATTTAAGCTAAAACACTGCTTCATGTATGTATGTATGTATGTATGTATGTATGTATGTATGTATGTTTGTTTGTATGTATGTATGTATGTATGTATGTATGTATGTATGTATGTATAGTTGTTTGTACTTTAATTTTAGTAGTCTTATTTCTTTATTTTTTTATTTTTAAAAATGAATCCGCATTGCAACTAACAAGTTTACAATGGTAATAAAGCCTGTTGTTAAGTTTTTAATGATTTATATAGGAATCATAAAGCTTTGTTCAGTTATTTCATCTTTATTTACAAGTAGCAGGCTATTTACAGCTTTTATTTTATTTTTATTTTATTTATTTTTATTTTATTTTATTTCTGTCTATTCACATTCCGTCCCTTTGTGCTCCCTAGCGGCATTGTCGTAAACTGCTTTTACACCTAAAAAAAATTCTTAATTCCTTAGTCCCACGGTGGCACCGCACATGGCGGTAATGGTCATTTTAAAGTGTCACCCACTCTATGAACACAGAAACTGTGATGGACGGTAACTTAGCCATATTAAATCACTACTGTACTTAAATATTTGTTATTAAGTGTTGTACTTAAGCAGATGATTTATTTATTTTTTATTATTATTTTTTTTTGGAAAGGTTTATTTTCATTTCACCCTATTTCAAAACTCCTCTGCATTACATAATAAAAAATGTCAATTTGAAAAGGAGAAATGATGTTTACCTTGCTTACTTTTTCCCCTCAGTAAATACAAGACCTGTTCAATTTGAACCACCTCAACCAGCTCCTGGGTCGGATAAATCTAAAGGAGACAATGAATCTGGAGGTTGGAGAAAAAAAAAGCCTTAGATTCTTCTATTTATGGATTAATTAAAATTTCAGTTTTGGAGTTATTAAATATGCATCTTTGTTTTCTGAATCATTTTCAGATGGAATTCTGATAATCATCATCGCTGCTGTTAGCGTCGCTGTTCTGGCCATTGGCAGTATTGCAGGTAATTAATGTTGAATTGCAGCAAACTCTACCACACAAACAACCATTTACTAGACCATACTACAGTGTGCTAATACATTTATATTCCAAAAAGTCAAGCATATTTATAACAAGAATCATTTGATGACATATTAAAAGGCTTAATTTTTTGGGTGAACTAGCCCTTTAAATACTTTATTTCCCTTTAGTTTCAAATCAATGAATTTTTATCTTCTGTTAAACACAAAAGAATATATATATATATATATTCTTTTATATATATATATTCTTTTATTATATATATATATATATATATATATATATATATATATATATATATATATATATATATATTTTTTTTTTTTTTTTTTAAATGTTGGAAACCTGTAACCATTGACTTCTATAGTATTTATTTTTTTATACAATATAAATCAATGGTTACAGGTTTTCAGTGTTCTTCTAAATATAGTAAAGGAACTTATAAATGATTGGAACTATTCGTGGGTGAGTAAATAATAAGTACATTTTTATTTTGGGAGAACTGTCCCTTTAAGGATCACAGTCTAGCCGCAAAATACAAACTTATTATATTTTAGTGGCTAATTCGTATGAATTTGTTTGATCTGATTCCTATATTTTAGTATGATTTGCTCATCCCTCAATGACAATGTAAGATAGTTAGCTTTTCGTGTGAGATCTGGCTGACATTACTCATTATTATCATTTTTAACTGTTATACTTCACAGATATCCTGCAAAGCACTAGGTTTTGTTCAGTTGTTTTGTAAGGCATATTCAGAACAAGAATCATTTGATGACATAATAAAAGGCTTTATTTAAAAGGGCTAGTTCACCCAAAAAATCATTTACTCCCCCTTGGTTTGTTTCAAATCTGCCTGAGTTTCTTAATTCGGTTAAACACAGAAGAAGATATTTCCAAAAAAATGTTGAAAACATGATACCATTAATTCTATTCTAATTTATTTTTATACTATCAAGGGTTACAGGTTTTCAGCTTTCTTTAAAATATCTTAAAAGGACTTATAAAAGTTTGTAACCACTTGTGGGTGAGTAAATAATGAGTAAATTTTCATTTTGGGTGAACTGTCCCTTTAAGGATCATAGTGCAGCCCCAAAATTCAAACGATGAATTTGATTTATAGGCAAATTCTATTAATAAGTTTGATCTCTTTAATATATTTTAGTATGCTTTGCTCAATGGCAATGTAAGGGTAGTTTGTTTCCTTGTGAGATCTAGGCCTAATTTACTCATTTTTTAACATTATACTTTACTGTATATTATTCTAAATCCTTAATCCCACTAGGTTTTGCTCATTTGTCTTGTAAGGCATATTTAGAACAAGATTAATTTGATGACATATTAAAAGGCTTTATGTAAAGGGCTAGTTCACCCAAAAAATCATGCAGCCCTGAAATACAAACTAAATATAATTTAGCGGCTAATTCGTATGAATTTGCTCGATCCCATTCGTATATTTTACTATAATTTGCTAATCACAATAGTTGGATTTGAAAGTGGGATTTGAGCCCAACTCCTCTTAAAAATTGTTTAAAAGAAAATTGCATGAATAAGAATTAGCCACAAAATGAGATCGGTTTCCTTGTGAGATCTGGCCTAAATGACTCATTATTATAATTTTTAATCATTATACTTCACCGATATCCTTCAAACCACTAGGTTTTGCTCATTTTTTATTAATTTAAAATATAATTAACTTTTGTATGGACATGCATTCTTTTCAATATATTAATACATACAGGTCACAATACATTTGCTGTTTATGATTGCACAAGTACATCTGAAACACTTAATTAAAGAAGCTTTATTTACTTTGAATAAATGTCTATGCATACTAATGAACTTTTGTAAATTTGTTTTAAAATCCACCCATATGGGAGGTCGTTTATTTAAAAACACAATAGATTTTAATATTATGCATTATAAAACTATTTTTTGTTATTTTTTGTTAGATATTTTCAGTAATGAAATCCATCAAAATGAGTTGCAGTAAGTTCAAACAAATTAATAAACAGAATTTCCATAATCTTCTAATCTAAAATAAGCATTTATGTCTCTAAAGCTGTATTGTACGTAAAACTGCAGTAGTGCATCTCAGTGCCCATGCAAATATATGAAAATGCGCGAGTGCTAGAACCACACTTTACATATGAATGCCTACGACTACTAATGTGATCACGTTGCAGATGCAAACAAAGGAATACTTCCTTCTAATTTTACATGTTACATGTGTTATGCAAGGCCATTCAGTCCTGCGGTTTTAGTTTTAACAGTGCCAATTTTTAACCTGTAATGCCAAATACATTAATAAATAAACATCTTCTTTTTTCATTACAGCTATTTTCCTTCTCAGACGCCACTTGCAAAGCCGAGAACAAGGGTAAGACGGTCGCTTTTTTGAAAGAAATTTAAAATGATTTTCACGTAGTGGCTTGTTACCTGCCCATTATCAAGACTTTGCCAGTTTATTTTTTTACTTATAAAGTAAATCCCTAATCATTCTCAATTCCTTAACTCGGCAATTACCTTAATAACTATTATTAAGCAGCAGATTAGGAGTTTATTGAGGTAAAAGTCATAGTTAATGGTTTGACAAGAATTTTACTTTGAAAAGGGACTACACATATACAGTTGAAGTCAGAATTATTAGCTTCCCTGAATTATTAGAGCCCCTGTTTATTTTTTCCCCCAATTTCTGTTTAACGGAGAGCAGATTTTTTCAACACATTTCTAAACATAATAGTTATAATAACTCATTTACAAATAACTGTTTTATTTTATCTTTGCAATAATGACAGTACATAATATTTTACTAGATCTTTTTCAAGACACTTCTATACAGCTTAAAGTGACATTTAAAGGCTTAACCAGGTGAATTAGGTTAACTAAGCAGGTTAGTGTAATTAGGCAAGTTATTGTATAATGATGGTTTGTTCTGTAGACTATCAAAAATAAAAATTGCTTAAAGGGGCTAATAATTTTGACCTTAAAATAGTGTTTAAAAAAAAAATAAAAACTGCTTTTATTCTAGCCAAAATAAAACAAATTAGACTTCATCCTGAAGAAAAAATATTATCAGACATACTGTGAAAATGTCCTTCCTCTGTTAAACATAATTTGGGAAATATTTAAAAAAAAAACAAAGGGGGCTAATAATTCTGACTTTAACTGTATATACTGTACTTACTGTTTATAATGTTATTTTAAAAATCAAAGCTTGCTGGGATGAATACAGCAAATCCATTTAGACAGAAATGCATGTCTCTATGAAGTTTCTATCTGTGTGTTTTTACACAGCAAAAATGTTTTTCTTGGAGTTTTTGTCTCGTTTCTATAAATACACAGTAAAAATATGTATTTACACAATAAGTACATTGTAATAAACTATTAGTTCCAATGTAAGTACATATTAGTTAAGGCCCAAATATCTAAAAAACTTCTCAAATTAAAAAGCATTTTATAAAAGTCTAAAGGTTTATAGAAATAATGTCAAAATTAAGAGTTATTTCCTAAAATATGTTAAATAATCTGCCAATAGGGTAAGAAAAATAATATTACAGTATGTCAAAATGAGAGAGAGAAAAAAAACAAGATTATTTTTCTTACCCCATAGGTAGATTATTTTGCATGTTTTAAGGAAAAACTCACTTAATTTTTAACATATTATTTTTTAAAACAAGACAATGTTTTACATTCTAGAAAATGCTTCTTGTTTTAAACATTTTTAGATATTTAGACTATAGACAAGACAAAAACTCTAAGTAAGAAAAGTGTTTGTTTTTTTTTCCTGCAGTGTATGTGTATAGAGGTTTGATAATATCTGATGTTATTTCATGCTCGCTATAATTCTGAGAATATTGAAGCTGAAGCTATTTACACAAGCACACCAGCTTGATTATTAGTTGCTCTGCATGGTCCCACTTCTTATCTAAAGAAGGATTTGGCAGCGCTTACTGGAAAATTGGTGAAAAAAAAAAAAACAATTCTCACCTTTAGCTTACTTGACACTCTGTCTTGAGTGACACATCTGAGTTTAGACACACAAGGCTTCTGGAAAGCTCCACCCCATCTTCAGCTTTTGGGGTGGTCCAACCAGTCTGATAGGTAACAGTTCTCCGAATCCCAGGTTACCCACTAAACACAAGACGACATGAGTAGGCGAGACAATAGAGGGCCATGTGAAGGAGGGATAGGCCACCATTAGCAGCGCGTTGGTACATGTGCACCGATGACTCCTCTTTCCAGCCATCTGTCAAATGCCCCTCAAGCCCTGAGCTGTTAGAAACAAAAAGAAAGAGGGAAAAAAAGACAGAAAACAAGCCAGGTGCTGACTAATATGAACAAGATATGACCTGCTAAACCCTGAGAGAGTTTACACTGTGGGAATATTCCATGACTACTGCATAAAAAAAATAGTATTTAGAAAAATAAGAAATTTGGGATTTTTTTTGGTGTGTGTTTGTTTGTTATAGTTGGACAAATACAGTTAGGGACCAAACTACCCAAACCAGTTTGTATGTTTATAAAGGAGAGAGAAGGAACAAGGAAGAAAGAAAAAAAATAAGGTGTTGCATTTTGTAAGAATTATTATTGTTCTTCATGCAAACACAGGTATAATCACATACTGCACATCCTTAGCTTGCATTAGTATGGCAAATGACTTCAATTTATCTTTTATAGTGACATTTCAAAATGATTCATTATCTTGATCATGTTTAGGCCATTTCAAGACTTTTATTATGGTTTGTTTTTTATTACCCTGCTCTATACACTTACCGGCCACTTTATTAGGTACACTTATTCAACTGCTTGTTAATGCAAATTTCTATGCATGGCAGAATCTTAATGCATTTAAGCATGCAGACATGGCCAAGACGATCTGCTGCTTTTCAAACTGAGCATCAGAATGGGGAAGAAAGGGAATGTGAGTGACTTTCAATGTGGAATGGTTGTTGGCGCCAGACAAGCTGGTCTGAGTGATTCAGAAACTGCTGATCTACTGGGATTTTCACGCACAACCATCTCTAGGGTTTACAGGGAATGGTCTGAAAAAGAGAGAATATCCAGTGAGCGGCAGTTCTGTGAGTGCAAATGCCTTGTTGATATCAGAGGTCAGAGGAGAATGGCCAGACTGGTTGGAGCTGATAGAAAGGCAATGATAACTCAAATAATCTCTCGTTACAACCGAGGTCTGCAGAAGAGCATCTCTTATGAGACAACACGTCCAAACTTGAGGTGTATGAACAACAGCAGCAGAAGACCACACCGGGTGCCACTTTTGTCAGCTAAGAACAGGAAACTGAGGCTACAATTTGCACAGGCTCACCAAACAATGCAATTACAATACAATACCATTAAACAATAGACGTTTGGAAAAATTTTGCCTGATCTAATGAGTCTCGATTGCTACTGCGACATTCAAATGGTAGAGACAGAACATGAAAGCATGGATCCAGCATGCCTTGTGTCAACAGTTCAGGCTGGTGGTGGTGGTGTAATGGTGTGGGGGATACACACTTTGGGCCCATTAGTACCAATTGAGCATCATGTCAAAGCCACAGCCTACCTGAGTATCGTTGCTGACCATGTCCATCCCTTTATGACCACAGTGTATCCATCTTCTGAGGGCTTCTTCCAGCAGGGTAACGCACCATGTCATAAAGCGTAAATCATCTCAGACTGGTTTCTTGAACATGACAATGAGTTCACTGTACTCAAATGGCCTCCATAGTCAGCAAATCTCAATCCAATAAAGCACCTTTGGGTTGAACGGGAGATTCGCATTATCGATGTGTAGTCGACAAATCTGCAGCAACGTGCGTAATGCTATCATGTCAATATGGACCAAAATCTCTGAGGAATATTTCCAGTACCTTGTTGAATCCATGCCACACAGGATTAAGGCAGTTCTGAAGGCAAAAGTGGGTCTAACCCAGTAAGGTGTACCTAATAAAGTGGAAAGTGAGTGTACAATATGTGCAAATGAAGACAAAATTATCAGCTCCCCTCTGTAATTAGAATTGTTTCAAAAATTTCCCAAATGCTGTTTATTAAACATAACAGTTTTAATAACCTATTTCTAATAAAGATTTTTTTTTTTTTTTTTAGCTATTTTGCACTATTAAGGTACTATTATTCAGCATAATTTAAAGGCTTACCTATAGGTTAATTAGGCAAGTGAATGGACAACAGTGATTTGTTCTGTAGCTGTGAGCCGATTTTTAGAGTTACTACATATATACATACATTGGTCCATTTGAACAAAACTAATTTATTAAACAGATAAATTTATTCAAATGTTATTTTAAATCAAGCAAAATATTACAAAAAATAAACAAATAAAACAAACTACAAAATTTCTACTAGATTTTAGATTTTTTTCTTGATTGTTCCTTTTTTATTTATTATTATTCCCTAACAAATACATTTGGGTGTACTCATTTTGGACCATTATCATAGGATATTTGGTTAGACGTGCTACAGATTTGGCTTCAGTACTGACTAAAATAATGTAAACGCACAAATCTATTGTTTAGCATCCTATAGAAAATTTAAAAGAGATTGGTAAGGGGTGTTCTCATACTTATGATGTATATGGGACATTCCATAAACGTACATAATCTGTCCCTGAAATAAAAACATGAATACATTTAATCTCCAAAAAATTCTAAAATAGACTAATGGTTGATTTTTGTGAGTTGTTCTGTAAAGGAATGTGTCAATCATTTGGTTCTTAGATTGTTTTCTTTATTAAAAACACTATACAAATTTGCAAACCCTGTCATTGCCCTTGTCTTCAGCCCAACTGAACCTACAGCTTTAACAGTTTTGTTATTTAGAAGAAAAAAAATCTGAAATAGCAAAGTTTAAGTTGTTATCGTTCACATCAAATGATTAAAAAAACGAAATTATAAATAAATTCTACAAATAAATACTATTTCACATTTGACCTCATGTTTCTGTCAGTCCTGTCACATTTGCTATGGCTCTGAGGAAGTGGCATCATTAGTGACATCATTTGACAAGGATGGCTTCTATCATTGAATTATATGATTTTATGCTTGTTTTTGTTTGAGTTTTTGAGGAGGACAAGAATTAAGGTCAGTTCCAGTCACATTTATTATAGGTTAAAATCTACATTTCTGGAAGAATGTCCCATATATACTGAGAAAATATCACTTTACAAACTGTATTGTGCATACATCATTTAAAAAAACGGCATATTAGTCAATAATATTACTGAAATTAAAATAAAAAAACTGAATATATATTTACACACATTAAAGTAAAACAAAAAATCGTTGGATTTATCCACGCTTGTGGGCCTACGCTATTATTTGACCTCAGAATACTTCCAATAAGTCAGTTTTATGATGTCTTTAGTGCATTTTCATCCATTCTGAAGCTTAAAAATACCCAGTCTATATTCATTTGGAACAACATCAGAGTGAGTCAAGGATGAAAAATTACATTTCGCAGGGACCCTTTTCTCTTAAGGTGACAAAATGAATGCGGTTATAAGATAAAAAAAAAAACCTTCCTTTCTTTCTTTCTTTTTTTTTTGGGTCTCTCTGATTGTTTTGCAAAGCACAGAAAAAGGAAAGCACCGCATTGTTCTCTCTTTCTCTCTCACGTCCTGTCCCCCCTACTTTGTGGCCTATCGCTGTCCTCCTGATAGGTTGTGTAACTGAATTTGGCTGCCGCGCTCACCTGTTTTGCACAGTAATCAGTTTCGGCGACTTGCTGAGTATGGCGATATGCGAGAAGAGAGAGCGAGTTTGTCTGACACCTGCCTCCACACAGCCAGCTTAAAGATCCTCTGTTTTCTCTCCCTTTCTTTATTGAGGTTAAATTCTTCTGCAGGATTACAGGTTACCTCAGGGGAATGCAGTTAGCTGAGCCACGGCTTTTTCCCCCCCTTCTTCTTCTTCTGCGGTGTTGAGTGATAGGGTGGCTGAAAGGGGCTTAATCACACAGCAACCACAGGATCAACACTGAAGCTTTTCTGAGCATGTTCACAGAAAGCACACACTCAATAATAATAATAAAAAAAAATATATATATGATAAAAGCCCCACGAAATGCCTTGAGGGGCAAGTAAAAAGTTGATAAAGCAAGGCAAACTGCGCAGGAATTCATCACAGAGCAAATTAAACAGCATTACCTGAGGAGAGCGAGTCTGCATACATGTGTTTGAATAGCGTGAATGCGCCACAAAGAGCTCCATTCATCTTTCTGCTCAAGCATGGAGCCGAATCTCCAGCTATTCAGAATGAATGTCAGGGTTAAGCTTCTCTCGCATATGTGTGTATGTTTTGCCTTAAGTATAACCTGACCCACAGCTGACCCTATTCTTCAGTGATATCAGCGCGGCTGTGTACATTTACACGAGCATTGTCGACGATTTGAAGATGTTGAATGGGCCTTGTAGATATTTAGCTTTGGTGTGTCTGAACCGTATTTAAATGGGTCAGGTATCGTGATTTCCTTGATCTTTTCAAATAACTGTATTACAAAAAAGACCATTTAGTGATTTTAAGAAATCTTCGCATATCATGTAACATTAGATTAGAGTGTGAATAGAGACTGCAACTTCACTGACATTGCATGTACTGTATATGTGTTAAAAATAAAGCTGCCGGTTGTCAGATGTACAGGACTTTTGAGCAGATATGTTTAGAATTATAAAGGAGGCATAAAAGTTGTGTGAATATAGACTTTATGGGCTTTATTACCATTTTATTTAGGTTATTACTTACTATAATTCATGGGTTTACAATCATCTGTGGATTACATTAAATGTCAAAAATGTCATTTGTTATTTATCACGTCATTTTTATAATGCAATTTGTAATTTACCTTATTTTTAGGAGTTTTATTGATTATTACGATAAGAGTTATTACTTTATAAGGTATTATTATGTAATTATATAAGTTTGACTTTTTTGTTTGTACAGTATGTAGAGCTTTGACTTTAAGAAAAACACAGCATGAATACAATCCGCCAACTTATCCAGCATATGTTTTTAAACAGCGGATGCCCTTCCAGCTGCAACCCATCTCTGGGAAACATCCATACACATTCATACACTACGAACAATTTAGCCTACCAATTTACCTGCATGTCTTTGGACTTGTGGGGGAAACCAGAGAGCCGGAGGAAACCCCTGCAAACGCGGGGAGAACATGCAAACTCCACACAGAAATGCCAACTGACCCAGTCGAGGCTTGAATCAATCACCTTCTTGTGAAGCGACAGCACTACCCACTGCGCCAGGATAAATACAATTTATTATTATTATTGTAACTCACCGGTCCTACGGCAGCCAGCCCGGTCTGAGCTGTAATCGAACCAGCGATTCTTCACATGGGAGTTGGTTACTCTAACAAGGAGACTAAAGGCCATGGCTTCTAGTGTCTGTCGCTAGTGCACCTTTTGAGTTCAGAGGAGTGTAGTTTACCTGAACGTCGCTAGCTTGCCTCCGGTTACACTCAGCTCTCTAAACCACACTACCATCCCGGACGAGCCCCCATGTGTGACCCACCAGTCTTACTGTACCTAGCCCAGTCTGAGCCAGGATCGAATTGATGATTCTTTGCGTGGGAGTCAGTTGCTCTAACAAGAAGGCTAAAGGCCATGGACTCTAGTGTCTGTTGCTAGAGCACTTTTTGAGGTCAGAGGGGTGAGGTTTACCCACCCGCTTCGAATGTTATCATTTAATTGAAAGGACATTATCAGTGGTTATCAGCTGATAGATATGGGCCAGTAAACTACTAGTAGGTGCAGAAGGCTGTTATCATTCATTCACATGGTTAATCAGCTATACTAATAGAGAAGACTCAAGATCCAGATCTGTTTTTATATTACTGTGACGGTTGGGTTTACGGTTGAGGTAGACGTTAATAAAAAACACAATGGGAAATTTAATAAATAATCTAAATAATTCTTGTTAACTTCCAGCCGCAGTCGTATATGATCTATAGCTGATTAGCCATGTGGATGGATGATCACAGCCTTCTGAGCATACTAGTAGATGCAGAAGGCCTCTTCTGGCCCATATCTATCAGGTGATAACCACTGATAAAACCCATTCAATCGAGTGATAACATTTAAATTGTATCAGTTTACCAGCAAAGTAATTTGCTGGCTGGCCTTCGTTACATTACTGTTATCATTAAAAGTATTTTTGTAAATTATATATGAGGTTGTATCAGTGTCAAAAAACTATTGGAACATTTCTTCATTATTTTGTTGATAAAAAACACAGAATACATGTTTTTTAATTTATTTATAATAATATAATTATTAAAACAGGGAGTAAGATTTACATTGTAAAAAGTGAACACACACAAAAAAAAAAAAAATATATATATATATATATATATATATATATATATATATATAAAATTATATTATATATCAACACAAATCTCATGGCAATTCGTAACTTTTTCATTAAGTGGCTAATTCGTACAAATTCGTACGATCTAATTCGTACATTTTAGTACGATTTGCGTATCCCCCTATGACGGTTGGGTTTAGGGGTGGGGTTAGGTGCCACGCCTCCTTTTTAAAATCGTACATTTTCTTACGACTGAACTCGTACGAATTCGTACGAATTAGCCACTAAACTGCCAAATTGTAAAATACTTACGTTTTTTTAATTTCTTACGTTTTCAGGATGTATATATATATATAAAATCAAGCAATAATTTAAACTGGAAAAAATAGGTGTTATCAATTAAACTAATTTAAGTTCATACAACTGCTCTAAATACTAAATAACATAGTAAAAACATGGCATTGCAATTTTCCCCAGTTTAAGCTAAAAAACAGAAAAAATCTGTTTTTAAAAATTGAGAAACGCTGTTTTGAACACTAAATTTTTTAAAAAATATGAGTAAAATTATCTAATCTCATGACCCATTTAAAAAAAATGAATTAAAATGGAAATAAATACAATAAATAAAATGAATCTAATTAAATAACTTTTATTGGGACTTCATTTTGGCATGCATGATTGAAATATTTGTCATTAAATCTATTATGTGTTTTAATTCCAAAAAAATCCTCAAAAGGGAAACGCAGAGCAACAAGTCCTAAAGATTAAATCAAAGTCAGCACAGTGAACGTCCTGTTCTCATCTCTCTTTCTCTGTGTGTTTCTCCAGGGTTTATTCTGTGCCAGCGGAACAAGGACACAAAGCTGCTGTCTAACCATCAGGGCCTTTTCACATCTCCTCTCCACTGGATCCTTCAGGGACGTGCTGAACGCATGCAATTTCTCATCCAAACATCTCTCTCTTTATATATATATATAGCCAATTCTATAATGACAGATGAGAATGTGTCGCTCTCGTGAATTCTCAAAGAATAGTTTTTAAATGCACAAAGTGCGCCATTAATGCACACATGTCAGATGTCGCACTCACAAAGTCCTTGAACTGTGCTCTTATTCACCTGCAATGTTTTTCTGTATTTAAATCCAGGCTCGAAGGTGAAGTGTGTAATATTTTCAGCCTTTTAGACACAAGTAAGCCATTCATGGTTGTTTTTTTCCACATGAAAAGTATAAACAAACACTGTGGGTCTGCTTATTTGATGGAACAACATCGGCTCAACCAATGGCAAGAATCCGGGGTGGGGCTATCCATTTAAATAGCCAGTGATGAAAAAACAAACAGCTGCTTATTTTTTATTTTTCCCTTTCCAGTACTCTGATATTACCTGTCCACAGTGCTGACAAAATCTCCCCAGTTAACAGATAAAACTGGTCTTTGGCTCTCTGATTATTTGACAAAAGAGAGAAAGAAGTAGAGAGAGAGAGAGAAAAACAAGTGGAAAAGTGGCTTCTGAACACTTACTTGTTGAGCGGTGAATTAATCAGCGGCTTTAAAAGATGTTGTTTTCTTTTCCCTGTCTTTCGCTTCGGCCAAACTCCTCTACAAGCACTGCAGATTGTAAATAGCTGTGGGATGCTGGGTCGTAGATTGATGCTTCATATATACTGCTGGCTTTAATGGGGATGGAGAGAATCTGATAGAATGAGGACACTCATAGAATAGAACGAAAGCAAGATTCCACCACATATCAATCAATGAGTACGTTTACATGGACACCAATAACCTGATTTAATACAATAAAGATAATGCTCTGATTAAGAGTCTACCATGTAAACAGCAATATTTTATTCATTTAATCCCATTAGGATCATAGTCAAACTAAATAGAAATCGGATTAAGACATGTGGAGCATTATTGAAGTGCAGAACAGACATGTAAACATCTTAATCAAACTATTACCATTTTTTACCAGGTATTTTTTTTTCTTTCTATTTGGCGTGCGGTATCAAATTCCATTAAAACACCAGTCCTTACTTCATACTCGCATCCAATACCTCAGTTGTCATGCAGGGGGCATAAATGAAAAGTTGCTGAAGTCCTCAGATAAAAATTTAAACACTCGAATTTACATGAAACTGGAGAAAACGTGGATAGCGATAGCACAGTGACGCAATGACGTTAATCCAACTGTGCTACAACATGTAAAACGAAAACATTCAAAAAGCAACTTATATAAATACCTTAATCATATCATTATCTTATTCAGATGAAGGCAAATAATTCGATTACTGATGTCCATGTAAACATAGTCAATCAATAAATCAATCAATCAATCAACCAATTGACTAAACCACAAACCAAGCAAACAATCAACCAAACAATCAATCAGTCAACAAACCAATGAACCAACCTACCAATAAATCAATCAACCAACCAAATAACCTAACAATCAATCAATCAATCAATCAATCAATCAATCAATCAATCAATCAATCAATCAATCAGCGGACTAACCTACCAACCAAGTAACCAATCAATCAATTAAGGTCTGCGTCCGAAACATTTGAATTTACTACTCGACCTTTAGAAAAGTATGTTCTATAGTATGAATATGAGTAGTATGAATAGAACTTGTGCGAAACGTACTACAGCTGCCATTTTATCTTGAATTTTCTTGTGGTGCATAATAGGATAGTGTAGTGTCCATCTAATGCGCACTTCAGAATCTCATCCGGGTACTTCTCGCATGCTGTTTTTCAAATTCTATGAATTCGGACATACTACTCGGCTCGCATACTCTTTTTAGCGTACTATATTGTATGGAAGTATGCAGTTTTGGACGCAGCCAATAAATCAACCAACCAACCAATGAACAAACCAAGCAACTAATCAATCAATCAATCAATCAATCAATCATCAAACCAAGCAACCAATCAACAAAACAATCAATCAACCAACCAATCAATTAACCACCTTCTCAATCAACCAGTCAATAAACAAACTTAGCAATCAATCAATCAATCAATCAATAAATCAACAAACCAATTAACTAATCAATCAATCAACTAAACAACCTACCAATCAATCAATCAAAACAATTGTAATTCAGCCTAGTTTATATCTTGTGATTCATAGAAAAAATCTGAATTGCAAAATAGCAAGACAGAAACCCAAAATATTGAGTTTATTTTTCACCATTTAGATTTTTCTATAACACTTTATTTCAGGTAACAATTCACACCATTAACTACTGGCTTATTACTTGCTTATTATTAAGATGTTAATTGTTTATTAGCACTTATATAGCATCTTATTTATCAACTTATATAGATCTTTTTTACATCCATACTTTTACTCAATACCTAACCCCAACCTTACTATTAATAAGCAGCTAATTAGTACTTTATTGAGCTAAAAGTCTTGGTTAATTGTTTGTTCATAGCATGAATTGTACATTAAAATAAAGCGTGACTAATTTCTTCTTTTTAAAAGTGTTTTTATAGACTTAAATTCATATATGGATAGTGGACACAATATAATTATAAAATAACAATAAACTCAGAATAACGCAGCCCAGGCTTATTCTGATTATGTACCCCTACAGTATATACATTTCTGGAGAGCAAAACACGTTTCAGGAGCTAAATTTTTTTTAGCTGATAAGCAAGAAAAGGGATAGTATCATACCACCCAGTATCATTTATTTTAAAGACGAAAAGCAGCTTTCACTACATAATTCGGATCTCCAGAAACGTGTATATAGGGCTACGTTTTCAAAATGAGCCACGTTGGAATTACAAGGATAAAGTCGGAATTTGTATTGCAAAATTTAGCTTTACAAAATGTAACTTTTCTTGCTAAGTTGTATTAAATTTGGTTTAATAACTTTGTAAGTTCATATGTTGTAAATTTGTAAAAACAAACAAACAAAAAGTCGGCTGAAAAATTTACTCTGAATTGTGAGATATAAACTCCCGTATTTCGTCATTCACTCTGTTCTTCTCATTTCTCATTTAACTTGCAACCTGTGAGTTTAAGAAATAAATAATAAATAATATAATTACGAAAAAAAAATTACGTCATAGATTGAAAATACTGCGACATACATAGAGTAAAAAATAAAGTCTGAATTATACGTTTTTATCTTGTAGTTGTAAGGTATGTGAGGTGAAAAAGAAATCACAATTAAATGTATTTTTATTATCATTATTTTTCATGGTGGAGAAAACAGTGGGGTTCAAAAGTCTATAAGTGGAAATATTTAGCAGTTTTTAGCACAAATTATTTTATCAGCATGGCAATTTACCAATAAATAAATATACTATGCAATATTAACAAATCATTTTAAATTAAAAAGACAGTATTTAAATCATAGGTCTCAAACTCTATTCCCGGAGTGTTTCGCTTCAACCCTTATCAAACACAGCTCATCCAACTAATCAAGGTGTTCAAGACTACTAGAAACTATTAAGCAGGTGTGAGTTGGAGGTGGTTGGAGATAAACTACTATATGCAGAGCTGCGGCTCTCAAGGAATTGAGTTTGAGACCATTGATTTAAATGTAAATTTTCAGTTTTTCAGTGTGGACTTTTGGACTTGTCTGCATCTACAGCATCATCGACCAAAACTAAGACACTATAGCAAGCAGCTTACTTTTATCTTCCCCTTTCTCTCTCATCTTCCTTTTTCCCTTCCATTTTTTTAGATTAAAATGGAAATCAATCAAAGCCCTTTTAGTCAGAGTCTCAAGACGCCCTGTGTCTCGGCTCTTTATTCGGAATTTACACAAAGGCGGCAGGCTGGCAAACACTTTTAACACACTCTTTCGTGAGGAGAAAGTTTTTCATCACTTTCTTACAGTACAGTTCATTCATGAATGGAAAATTAACTCATTCTTTACTCACCCTTATGAAATTTCAGATCTGTATGAAGGTCAAAGCATCAAAATACAATTACTTTTATTAATTTGATCAAAATGGAAAGCATACTTTGAGCAGGTGGTGTTGACTTTAATACTTTCAATACATTTTATGAAAATATATATTTTTTTAAATGTGGGTGAAATAGTTTCCTCATCATTTAGTGTAAGGAAATAAAATAAAACATTCATTCATTAATTTCCTTTGGCTTAGTCCCCTATTTAAAAATTGTTGTCTCTAATTATAGGATTATATTGTCACATATTAATTATTGCTCTGAATACACCTGACAAGATTGTTTTGGTATATAAATCATTGTTACATTCTTTTTATTTTGATGTTGTCTTCTGTAAATCGTAGTAAAAGTTAAATGTAAAATTAAACAGATAACATTCCTAAATATGAAACAAACAAAAATGCACTGTAAAAGAAATCCATAGTTTTACGGTTTATTTCCGGCAAATGGGGTGAAAAAAAACTGTAAAATAGCGGCTGTTAAATTACAGAAATTTACTGTAAAATAACAGAGGTTGAATTACTGAAAATTTAGCAAAAATTAAAATTTAAATAAATTTCTGTAATTTAATGCCCGTTATTTTACAGTAAATTTCTGTAATTTAACCGCCGTTATTTTACATTTTTTAAACCGTAAAATTACAGATTTTTTTTTACAGCTTGGATGAATATTAAGGGGTCAAACAACACCACCAATATATATATATATATATATATATATATATATATATATATATATATATATATATATATATATATATATATATATATATATATATATATATATATTAAAATAACAATAGTACTTATAAAAAAGAAATATTTAGATTTATTATCATACACTGTGTTGCAAAGAAAATTTTGTTAGATAGGTTTAAAACGACATGAGTATATATTAAAAAATACCAAAAATAATACATTATTTTAAAAATATTCTATACAGTATGTATACAGTATGTAGGGGGATAATATGAAAAGTTGTCTTTCACCTGTCTTATTTATATTCAGTGCTCAGCATGATTGAGTACACCTCATTTTGAAAAGAAATATTTTTATCCATTTCTCATTGAATATAGACATATATTTTAGTGCATTTAAACAAACAGATTTATTAAACAGATATATTTATTAAAGTAATATTTTAATCACCAAACATATTTAGAAATTGAAAGATTTTCAATTAAATTCAAGCCAAATATTGCAAAAAAAATTCAACTAATTTTTTTTTTTTCCATTTTTTGCTTCTACTGATTTTTCCTTTTTTTTTTTAAACTTGTATTTAATATTTTTTCATAACATATACATTTAGCTTTACTAGTTTTTGGACCGTTGTTGTAAGTTATTTTGGTAGATAAGCTCCATGATTTAGCTTCAGTACTGACTAGTCTAATGTGTATGCACAAATAGTATTGCATATCTTCCTATTAAAAATATCAATTTAAAATAGAGAGATTGGTGAGGGGTGAACTTAAATATGCTGAGCACTGTATATATCTACAGTGTATATATACGCAAACTATATCTCCCAGATATCTTTCAAAAAAAGTTTTTATTTCCTTTCTAGCTTTTTTTCTTGATTACCTGTTTTTTCTTGAGCTTGCCGCTTTTCTATTTAAATCGAAATGAAATCCAATCTCACACACATCAAACAGCTTGAGCTTGTTACTGTGATGCGTGCGGGTGTGTATAAAGGCATTAGTGTGTAACATTAATCAAGATTTGCAATATAGCTACTCTGATAAATCATTCACTAAAAGTGTCCTTAGACAATAGCATTTCAGATAACTGCAATTGGAAATCAGACAAAAGCAGAACATTTCAGCTTCTCTGAGTAGCACCGTAAGCCAGTTTTGTTGTGTTTTTCTCCCTTTTGTAATAGAGATTTTTTAAATATATATATTAAAGCTGTTGGGCTTCATTAACTCCAACAACTTTCCTTGGGGGATTTTTATTAGTATTTTTTTTTTTTGGGCAGGTGGCTTTATTCCATGTGAAGGGAATTTATACTTCTGTACAAAATCAATGTGTTTGATATTATTATATATCTTTATATATATTTAGTGCTAAGCAAAGATTAATTGTGATTAATCAAATCCAAAATAAAAGTTTGTTTTGATATGTGTGTGGGTACTGTGTATATTTATTAAGCATATATAAATACACACATGCATGCATATATTTGAGAAAATCTTTATTTATATTTAGATATAAAATATATATTAAGACTTTATATATATGCTCAGCCTGATCTTATAAGGAAACTTAACTTTTTTTTTATTAGTTTAGTGGCTAATTCCTACAAATTCGTACACTTTTAAAAAGAGGGCATGGCACCAAATCCCGCCCCTAAATTCAATCGTCAATGGACGATGAGCAAATCCAGACTGATCTCTCAAGGAAATGTAGCTATTTTACGTTTGGTTAGTTTAGTGGCTAATTCGCTCAAATTCATAATTTAAGTTGTACGAATACTTACAATTTTA